ATGGACAGAGTTAAGCATCTCTCTGAAAGTAAGAGGAAGGAAAAATTCAGCTCAATTCCATAAATATTTAGGTTCCTACCATCAGAGAACATATAATTTAGTGGTAGAGCTAGTGGAAAATCAATGCACCTTACCAGATTTCATGATTGAGTTGGAAAAGCCATATCTGGCCCACTGAATCAATTTTGTGTATCACATGAATAAATTTGCATATATACTGGGTGAAAACTAAGTTCAGACTTTAGAGCTCTAACTGGAAATTTACCAAATTCTCTTGCACTAAATCCTATAAATTAGGAAAAAAACAGTACTCTGTTAACATGTTTTATTATTTTTAATTTACTTATTTTTTTGAAACAGGGTCTTACTCTGTTGCCTGGCCTAGAGTGCATCATGTTATCATAGCTTACTGCAGCCTCAAACTCTTGGGCTCTGTCCCGTCCTGCAGGACACGGTTATTCGTGGGGCGAGGGGGACCCAGCCTGTAAAAGAATAGGCGAGAAAGAGGAAGCGAGACCAAGCAGATTTCTTGTCAAGGTCCGTTTTAATAGAGGTAACAGGTCAGTTTTTAAGGCACTCAGAGAAGACAAGGGGTGGGGCAAAGGAATGTGGGAGTTAGAGCTTGCATCAATCTCCTGCTGGGAATGTAAACGATGTGTCTGAAACATTTTATGGCTTCTCTGGGAAGAACAGCTCCTTGTCTGATAAGGGAAAAGCAGCTCTTTATCTGATAAAAGTTAGCACACTCTTGGGGGTGGGGATGGGCGGCCATCTGGCGTCATTTGGCTCCTGACAGGGCTCAAGCAATCCTCCTGTCTCAGCCTCCTAAGTAGCTGGGACTACAGGCACGCAATAACCTACCTGCTAATTTTTCTATTTTTTGTAGAGATGGGATCTTGCCCTTACTCAAGCTGGTCTTGAACTCCAGTTTTGAGTAATCCTCTTGTCTCTAGCCTCTCAAAGTGCTAGGATTACAGGCATGAGCCACAGTACCTGGACTATTTTTAATTTTTAAAGAAAGGCTCTCGCTCTGTTGCCTAGGCTAGTGTATAGTGAGTGGTGTCATCACAGTTCACTGCAACCTCAAATTTTGGACTCAGGTGATCTTTCTGCTTTAATCTCCCAAGTAGGTGGGATGCCACTGTCCCTGGCTAATGTTTCTATGTTTGTAGAGATGGGTTTTCACTAAAGACTCCAGGCTGGTCTTGAACTCAAGACCTCAAGCAATCCTCCCATCGCATCCTCTCAAAATGTTAGGATTATAGGTGTGAGCCACTAGGCCAAGCCCCTGGTAATATGTTTTATTAAGGCTTCTACTGGCCAGGCACAGTGGCTCACACCAGTAATCCTAGCACTCTAGGAGGCTGAGGTGGGTGGATAGCTTGAGCTCTTGAATTGAGACCAGCCTGAGGAAAAGTGAGATCCTGTCTCTACTAAAATTAGAAAAACTAAAGCAGAAAGATTGTTTGAGCCCAAGAGTTGGAGGTTGCTGTGAGCTATGATGCAATGGTACTATACCCAGGGCAACAGCTTGAGACTGTGTCTCAAAAAAAGGCTTGGTGCCTGTAGCTCAGTGGCTAGGGTGCCAGCCACATACACCAGAGTTGTTGGATTCGAACCCAGCCCACGCCTGCCAAACAACAATGACAACTTACAACCAAAAAATAGCTGGGCATTGTGGCAGGTGCCTGTAGTCCCAACTACTTGGGAGGCTGAGGCAAGAGAATCACTTGAGCCCAAGAGTTTGAGGTTGCTGTGAGCTATGATGCCACAGCACTCTACTGAGTGTGACACAGTGAGACTCTGTCTTAAAAAAAGAAAAAAAAAATAGAAAAACTGAGGCAAGAGGATCACTCTAGCCCAAGTTGGAGATTGTTCTGAGTTATGATGCCATGGTACTCTACCCACGGGACAACTTGAGACTGTCTCAAAAAAAAAAAAAAAAGCTTCCATCTTTTTCAGAAAAGTGCATAGGCATTGCTAGAACAAAACAGCCAGATAGATTTCCCCCTGTTACAATCATAGGCCCTTCCCTCTGATTGAGCTACTGCTGCTGCTCTTCTTATTTAGGAATCTTGCAAGAATACATAGTTAGGATACTGAGATATGAAGATCCTATGCAAATTGGTCACACATTTCTTGATATTAGGCTATACCTTACTTTCTTTGGGAAAATCTCAGGTATGTTTACTCATTCATTTGGTAGGCAGTCTATTAAAATTAAAGTAATAATAGCTCATTTAATTCCTTCATGTAGGTATTGCTCTATTATTTAGTAGTAGAGGGCGGGGGCAGGGATTGGACCTTGACAGCTTTAGAGATTATGTTCTTTACTTAGTTCTCCATATAAGTACAGGCTCTTGAGTCATTCTTTCTGGATTCAAATTCCAACTTCATTACTTACAACTTGTGTGAATGACCTTAAGCAATTACTTTACTTGTCTCCTCTGAGTTTCAGTTTCCTCATCTGTGTGCTATATTGCATATAATCTAACTTTGTCTAATGCCTGGCTCATAGGGAAATCTGCACCTATATAGCTCTTATTAAACAGCCATTGATTTAAACAATATATTTGGAGTGCCAACCATGAGTGTCCTCTTTAAGACACAGGTACTTTAACGTGTGGCCCTGATAGAGGATGTGTCCAGTTCTGGGTTTCTATCATCTTTCTTCCTGTGAATGAGTTTGGAAAGAGAATTTGGGTCCAGGTTCGGTGGCTCACACCTGTAATCCTAGCACTCTGAGAGGCCCAGGCAGGTAGATTACCTGAGCTCAGGAGTCAGAGACTAGCCTGAGCAAGAGCAAGACCCTGTCTCTAAAAAAAAAAAAGTGAAACTAGCCTGGTGTTGTGGTGGGTGCCTGTAGTTCTAGCTACTCAAGAGGCTAAGGAAACAAGATTGCTTAAGCCTAAGAGTTTGAGGTTGCTACTCACTAGGATGATACCACAGCACTCTACCCAGGGCAACAGAGTGAGACTGTCTCAAAAAAAAAAAAAAAAAAAAGAAAGAAAGAAAAGAAAAGAAAAAAGAAAAAAAGGAGAATTGGGTTAGGCAGAGAAGAATGTTCCTGTTGATTCATTTACACATCATACAATGAACTTGGAGGAGCAAAATCAGGCTACTCCTTGATTTAAACATGTCTGTCCTTTATCTCGAAAGGTTATTGTCCTGTTTGAGTGAGTGTTTTTACACCTTTAGGTTCAGAAAGATAATACATGGAGCACGGGAGGACACCAACTCAGCCAGTCAGTTTCACTAAATTAGCTCCAACCATTAGGGAAATGATAAATATATTTTATTTTATTTATTTTAATTAATTAATTAATTAAATATATTTTATTTTATTTATTTTAATTAATTAATTTTTTAAATTTAAATTTAAATTTTTTTGCATGAGAAAGAATCTTTTTTCCCCCATGGGATAAAATGTGCTGATTTTATATACCACTTGAAATATTTTCATCAAACTGGTTAACATAGCCTTCACCGCATTTTCTTAAGTTATTGTGTTCAGACATTTATACTCTACACTCAGTAAATTTAACATGTGTCCTTGTAAAATGCACTGAAGGTGTGGTCTCACCAATTACTCTCCCTCCACCCATCCTCCCCCTTCCCTTCCCTCTCTTTTTTCCCCTTCTTCTTGGGCCATAGTTGGGTTATAGCTTTCATATGAAAGCTATAAATTGGTTTCATAGTAGGGCTGAGTACATTGGGTACTTTTTCTTCCATTCTTGAGATACTTTGCTAAGACGAATATGTTCTAGCTCCATCCATGTAAACATGAAAGAGGTAAAGTCTCCATCTTTTTTTAGGCTGCATAATATTCCATGGTGTATATATACCACAATTTATTGATCCATTCATGGGTCACTGGGCACTTGGGCTTCTTCTATGACTTAGCAATTATGAATTGGGCTGCAATAAACATTTTGGTGCAAATATCTTTGTTATAAAGTGATTTTTGGCCTTCTGAATATATACCTAGTAGAGGAATTGAAGGATCAAAAGGCAGGTCTATTTTTAGATCCCTAAGTGATCTCTAAACATCTTTTCAAAAGGAATGTATTAGTTTGCATTCCTACCGGCAGTGCAGAAGTGTTCCCTTTTCTCCACATCCACACCAACATCTCTGGTTTTAATATATTTTTTTTTGAGACAGAGTTTCATTTTGTCATCTTTGGTAGAGTACCATGGTGTCATAGCTCACAGCATCCTCAAACTCTTGGGCTCAAGTGATTCTCTTGCCTCAGTCTCCCAAGTAGCTGGGACTACAGGTGCTTGCCACAACCCTGGCTATTTTTTTTTTTTTTTAGAGATGAAGTCTCACTGTGGCCAAGGCTGGTCTTAAACCTGTGAGCTCAGGTAGTCCACTTGCCTTGGCTTCCCAGAGTGCTAGGATTACAGGTGTGAGCCACTGTGCCCAGCCTATTTTTTTCTTTTTTGAGACAGTCTTTATTTTGTTGCCCTTGGTAGAAGGCTATGGCATAATAGCTCATAGCAACCTCAAACTCTTGCCTCAACCTCCTGAGTAGCTGGGACTACAGGTACGCGCCACAGTGTACCAGTGTAGATTTTAAATGAATGTAAAAGCTAAGTTACAGGACACTGTTATGAGGAAGCAGAGAACTCATAGGGGAGAAGGGTAGAGTATTTTTTTTTTTTTTTTTGCAGTTTTTGGCCAGGGCTGGGTTTGAACCCGTCACCTCTGGCATATGGGGCCAGCACCCTACTCCTTTGACCTGCAGGTGCTGCCCAAGGGTAGAGTATTTTGATAGAAAGTGAAAAGAAGTTAGAGGAAAAAAATTCCCAGTGAACATAGTTGAGAGAATTGTATAAGCCCTTAGATTTTTCTCCAGGCTAAAGATGTTTTTAACAGAAGATTGGTACAAGCTTTATTTCATTATTCTAATGGTGCTATTCTGAGATATGTCTTCGTTTCTCATATTTGTGTTTTATACCAGGGATTTGACAAATCTGTGTTCTTTCCTTCTTCACAGTCCTGAGGCTTTCTACCAATGCTGGTCAGTGGAAGGAAGCAGCTAGCAAGGTGACCCATGCATTGGTTAATATCAGGTAAGAAATGAGAATTTATTTCTTTCAGAGTTTCTTGGCTCTTCCCAAGGTTTGTCATACCTTTCTAAGAAGAGTGTATTGAACAATACTATTTTAAGCTCTAATATCTGTAGGAGTGGAAGAAATTGTCATACTTGAGTAAGAAAGCAGTCATACCTGAGATTTTTATTGTATTGAAATAGCTCATAGTGCTGGCTGTTTTATAATTTTTCTACCAAGAGATAGTTGTGATCCCTTTTCAGGCATCTTAGTTGCCAACATGTTTTCCGTGTATAGGCTTATTTCTGAAAGATTTTTTCTTATGTTCTCTGTGACTTCAGTGAATGACTCATGGAGATACAGAACTTTGACATTTCACTTCCTGTGGCTATTTCTGTTTGTGGTAAACAGAAGCAAATGGAGTGCATGGTACTAAGTCTTTTTTTGTTGTTGTGGTGGTTGTCATTGTTGTTTAGCAGGCCAGGGCTGGGTTCACACTGGTTATGTGGCTGCTGCCATGGACACTGAGCTGGTGCTAAGTCATTTTATGTTCTTTATGAAACAGGAAGGCAGTTACAGAGTGCCATATGTATTGGATAAAGTTATGTCAAACATGGAGCTGATAAATGTCTTGAGGAGGTACCGCTCACCCACAGGAGTATGCTGTTTGTAAATACAAAAGGGAAAGTGCTTTCAGGACTGTGAAACCTAAATATGAATTTTCTTCTAGTTCTTGCTCCCTTTGTGTGTACGATTTTTCATTTTCTCAGCAGTTATTAAATTGTTCTTGCAAACAACTGGAAAATTAACATGGAGTAAAAGAGGCAAACCCGACAGATGGGGAACTTGAATTAGCTCCAGATGTAAGCCTTGCCAGACATTCCCAGTAATAGTAATGCATATTTACAACTTGGTGTAGATTCTAATGTATGACAAAGCTGTTTATTTCTGTATCATTCTTTTCTTTCTTGGTATTTAAAGGTAAAATGTCCTGTGCCTACAGTGATTTACTATTGTGTTTGGCACATCTGGGAATAAAAGGAAAAGTGTGAAATGTGTGTGTTAGGAGGGCTGGGATGAGGGGGCATGGGGTGAGATGTGCTAACAAGATTGCACTGAGTGTTGGTCTGCCTTACCTGTCTCCAGAGACATTTTGTAGCAAACACAGTTTTATAAATCTCACAAATAAATGCATATCTGCACTTAGCAAATAATCCAGATACTGTGGTGAGGCCTATGATAAATGTGATTTTCCATAAGAATCAGAAACTGAACAGCCTTCTGCTAAATATACCTTTGTGACCCAAGGGCAGAATGACAAATGTGGGTGTCTGAATGAAGCACCAGGTTCTGAGCTAGATTATGAAGTGCATATGGGTATAATTTATGTTGTGTTTATTTATTCATGTATTTATGTAGGCTTTCCAGGCAGCTTCTTTTCATCTGGGGCCTCTTTCCTTGATCACATCCCTTTATGCTTGCTTTATCTCCTACTTCATTGCTTTTCCTTTCAGTGGTTTCTGGTTTGTCTGCTGTCCTTATTTTTCTCAAGGGCCATTGAGCAGCTGATTTAAGTTTTTGGCCTGTCCTTTTTCTAAATATTCAAGAAAGAACTGGACTGATCTTTGAGCAGATACGTCACCTCTACTCTTCTCTTTATATGAGTCTGTCAGGTTCATACTTCCATTTTCATTCCTCGGACTTCTCTGATGAGCTTGCTGTGGAGAATAATCACATCATTTTCACTGTTGCTAATGAATTAGCCTCAGAGTATATGCTCAAAGTAACAAAGACCCAGTCAGTTTTCTTAAGAGCTTACTGGAAAGATGTGTTTGAATGTCACTGATCAGAGTAAGGCCAGATTAGAGAAAAATACTGGTGATAGTAAGATAGCAAAAGTTTACTTTTTTTCCCTTTTTGACATCTATTTTCACTTATAAACTATTAGACTTTGTGTTGTTCTTTCATGTACTGTTTTCTTTTTCTTTTTTTTGAGACAGAGTCTTATGTCACTCTCGGTAGAGTGCCATGGCACCACAGCTCATAGCAACCTCAAACTCTTGGGTTTAAGAGATTCTCTTCCCTCAGCCTCCCAAGTAGCTGGAACCACAGGCACTTGTCACAGTGCCTGGCTGTTTTTTTGTTGCAGTTGTCATTGTTGTTTAGCTGGCCCAGGCCGAGTTTGAACCTGCCACCCTTGGTGCATGTGACTGGTGCTGTAACCACTGTGCTATGGGTGCTGAGCCTCATGTACTATTTTCTTTAATCTTTTTAACTCTGTTGAGTGTATTATATACTTTTTAAAATACTCTCTTTTCCTTGGCAAAGCTGAGAACTAATCATAGGTCTTCTAACTCCAAGTCCAGGACTTTCTTTAAAACTGTACTGCCTCCTCCTTCATACTACATTGACTGTCATGGACGTAAACAGAAAACTTAGTATGATGTATTGGAAGGAGCATGGAGATTTGAGTTAGAAAAATTGTATTTTTAATTTTTGTCTCTACCACTTACTATGTGATTTTGAACAAGTTACTTACCTTCTTTGGGCTTCTTTCTTCCATCTATAAAATGTGGGTGATGGTGATATTAATTATTTGACAGGGTAGTGGTTGTGATAATAACATAATGTAATGTAGATGAAAGCTCCTAGTGAAATACTAATTTTACTTCACATAGTGTCTTTAAGGTTCACCCATGTTGTAGGATATGTCAGAATTTCCTTCCTTTTTAGGCTGAATAGTATTCCTTCATATGTATATACCACATTTTCTTTATGTTTTCATGAGCTGATGGACACTTGAGTTGCTTCCACCTTTTGGATATTGTAAATAATGTTGCTATGAAAATGAGTATATAGATATCTGAGACCCTGCTTTCATTTCTTTGGGCATATACCCAGAAGAAGAATTGCTGGATCATGTGGAAATTATGTGTTTAATTGTATGAAGAATTGCATGTTGTTTTTTAGGTTCAGCATTTTGACCTTCGATGGAGTGTTTCCTAATTACGTCTTTATTTTATCTTCTCTAAAAGTTAAAATGTTACCCTTAAAAATATTTTGTTCTGGGCAGCGCCTGTGGCTCAGTGAGTAGGGCGCTGGCCCCATATCCCGAGGGTGGCAAGTTCAAACCCAGCCCTGGCCAAACTGCAACAAAAAATAGCTGAGCATTGTGGTGGGCGCCTGTAGTCCCAGCTACTTGGGAGGCTGAGGCAGGAGAATCGCCTAAGCCCAGGAGTTGGAGGTTGCTGTGAGCTGTGACTCCACAGCACTCTACCAAGGGCAATAATGTGAGACTCCTTCTCTTAAAAAAAAAAAAAAAACCCAAAAAATATTTTGTTCTTTTTGTAGAAGGACTTTTGGATGAAGGTAGTCCCAGGACTTTATTCTTAGAGTCCATAGACTCTTAGCTGAAGGAAAAAAACGGAATACAGGTCTGCACTCCACTGAGCCAACAGTAATGAGTCTGCCTTATGTTCCTTTGTCTTTCTAAAAGCTTGTGTTGTAATCCATGGCACTATTAACTTTGAGTGGTTTAGAAAACAAGACCTATGGGCCCCCTGATGATACTGGGGGGGATTTAGCTATCGGCCACCAAGTTAATTATCAAGGATAGAGTGTGTAAAAGGTATTAGCAGTAAAATTGTGATGATATACAGCATATATATCTAATGTTAGATTTGTGCTGATTCCACACAAATTCCACACAAAGGCTTTCTAAGGCAGAGTGGACAAGCCATCTCTGAGCTACCTCTCTTATAGTATGTTCTTTGATTGCCAGAGGAGGGGATTGGGATACATGTGAAGTTTTTGGACACCCTAACAGTTAGGAGGCATAGTGCCTAACATAGTGCCTCCTCAGCAGATGAAAGGCAGCAGATGGCTGCTGACCTCTCTATTCTAAGCATACTTAGTTTAGATTGTGGCAGTGAAAATGAAAAGTACTTTCACATTCTTGGAGGCCTAAATTTGCCCAAGTGTCAGTCTTTTTGCTTTTCACTTGTCTTTCATGGCTTAGTCATGCTAGTTCTTTAATTGTCAAAGTTATTTGTGTTTAGACAAATTGTCTCTCCCTTCCTGTTTGATCCTTCAGTGAGATTCTTAAAACGCAGCTGCTTAGAAACTGCTATTTTTATTGGAACACTTGATACCTCCAACAAACAAATCATTCCATTGCTTTGTCATAAGAAAAATAAAACACATTGCCCCACCTTTAAGATTCTACTTGTTGGTCTAATTGTTGCTTCAGCTGCCTCCGCAGATCTAATGGTCCATAAAGGAAGAATACTTTGAGGAACCATGTGCAGGGCAAGAGAGCATTTGGACAGTTCTGCTTAGAGGCTTACTTATATGCTGAATATTTCCTGCCACCACTTAGCAGGCAGTCCCAATGAGTGATGTCTTGTGCTTTAGGAAGATGTCTGCTGACTGTTAACCTAATTAGTCAAAAGAGAGAAAGAACAATGTTAAACTTAAATCTGACCTTCAGCTAACCAAACAACTTTCAAGGTAAGTAATTTGAGGCCTTTATTGAATTTCTTCAAGTTAACATCTTAATGCTTTTCAGTTAATGAACATTTTTACCACCAAGTTCAAAATCCTGTTCTCTGATTGCACGCAGAAATAGTGGCTAATTCACTGCAAATAGGTGTTTCTCCTGTGCTAATTTTCTTAAGGTAGATAATGTTTTACCTATAATTAATGTATTAATTTTTTCTTTATTTGGAATGCATTAATCTGGAGTTTAGTTTTTCTTCAAGAATAGCTGTAGTCTCAGTTACTTGGGAGGCTGAGGCAAGAGGATCACTTGAGCTCAGGAGTTTGAGGTTACAGTGAGCTATAATAAAGCCATTGCACTGTAGCCCAGGCAACAGACCAAGAGCCTATCTCCAAAAAAAAAAAAAAAAAGACTGGGTGGCACCTGTGGCTCAAGGAGTAGGGCACCAGCCCCATATACCAGAGGTGGCGGGTTCAAACCCAGCCCCGGCCAAAAAAGGCAACAACAACAAAAAAGACTTTTT